TAGTGATTTGCGATATATATTTCGCTTAGACGTTACTGCGGTTTCATTGGTCGAAATAGCTTGAAGTGACAAGGAAGCCAGTTAACTGCAGTTCTTGCTTTGAGAGCACGCGACAGCTTTTTCCCTTGAATTTATTATCTCTGAATTCATGGTTATATGCAGCTTAAAAGTGAGAAATGTCATTACTGAGTAGACGTTTAAGAACCAGCATTAATTAACGAACTAAAGATGTGAAGAACTCGAACCATTTGTAGCTAAGAGGGTGATGGATTAGACTTTGGACTTTGAAATCAATCAGTTGAAATTCTAGTTTTGTGGACTTCTAAGAATTACTATTTGATGGTATTTGAATCAATGATGGCTAAAAAAGACATACTAACAGATGAAGCTCAAGTACTGGATACAATTTGCTAGAAATTGGYTCATCAACAGAGTGCATGTGTGTAAAGTGTCTTTTCGAGCTTGTGAAAAGGGATAGTTTTCACAATGCCTACACAGTATCTTCTCGGTATCTGAAATGAAGTTTACATTGAACTAGGAAAGCTGGATAAAGTTATCGAGGTAAAAGGTAAGGAAATAACAGACGTATTTGGTGATAGATTTTATTAAAAACACGGCCAATATTATTTCAGACCTCAGTCGAATGCTTATTCTTATAAAATAATATAACTTAAGACTTAAGCTTAAGCTAAAAGATATCTTGTTAATTCTTTTCTGACTAAAACAGCTGAAGCTTATTCATTTCTGGCTTCTTTTGAAAACTTTAAACACAAGAAAAACGAAATGTCAAACATCTAAATTTTTTTAGTTGATCTTTTAACTTAGGTAAGCTAATAGTTTGTTTTTACATTTTGAATAAATTTTAAGCGTACGAAAGACAAAAAAAGCTAAGAGTTCGAATCGCCGAAACGGTTCTCGAATAATAAATCAAATAGAACATTTACTAATAAATCAGAAATATTCTCTTTTTTATATAACAATGGCCAAATTTGAGAAAAAAATATGAAGAAATACATAAACAAAGAAAGCAAAAAAAAAAAAAAAGAGACTCAACAGTGAGTCAAACGGTATACCAAACGTTGGGTAAAACACCATGTTTTTTTGTTGGCAAAATGCTTTCAGATACTTACATGGAAACTACACTACGAATGTTTCTCGCATTTTTTAAAGATGACAAGTTAATATAAAGAAAGTTTTTATGGATTTTCGGAATCAAACCAGAGCCAACCATCTCCGATGACTACTTCAACGATTTGTTTACTAAAACCGGCTTTTCTGAAACCTAGCAACGTACAAAACGGCGGGAATTAAAAAAAAGCGAGGCCTGGTTACATGCGATACTCTTGTCTTTCTGGTTTGCGCAAAATTCTAATAAATCTCCGTTTTCAAAAGAGAAATGTACGGAGCAACGCCATAGACCTGTTTTAGCGGTTATGTTGTTTTACGTTTTAAATCGTAAAAGAAAAAGAAAGCAAACCTAAATATAGATAAATAAATTTATTCCTCTAATCTAGCAATCACGTGATCTGCCACTACAAATGCGTTCAGCTTTGCACTGCGGATTTGAAATGATAAAGAAAACCTTGTTTTTTGTTTGCCAATTATAATAGAGTACCGAAGCCATGACGTCACGTTTCCATGGTTGCATTTTCATTGGATCTAAACAATCTTCAGCTGAATCAAACATGGCGGCGCTTTCGATATGTTCAATGAGAACTTTCTTTTCTGATGAGCCCAAGTCAATTAGTAGGGGCGAAAATCATTTCAATTCTGGTCATGTATTATCATATTCGTATTCTGACGGAACGTTAA